CGTTGTCCCGATATCATGGATACACTGTCTTAACCAGAAGTTGCACCGTGTATCGGGATGCCCCGTTGTTCTCAATTGGCAGACACGAGGAGAGTTACGTGGCTAAGGTAGTTCCGTAAGGTATCGGCGAGTTTTTTTTTCTCTCGAGAACGAACGGACGCTCAATCAGGAAATCATGGCGAGTCTGGAATCACTTCGTAATAGGAAGTGGAGGACAGGTGAACCTGGTGGTGAACAGGTCTCCCCGTAAATCCAATTTGTCCCGGCTGGAGAAAGATAAATCGCGTAGATGTCAACGGTATTAGGATAACATGCTAGGCGAGTAGGAAGCTAATTGAAATTCCGTAGAAGTAGAACCAAGTAATGACAACATCAACTCCCCTCTATCTCTCGCTCTGTTACTGTCTATTACTCTTTGCAGAGAATCGATGACGTTTCTAATCCAGCCGGCGGTTCGTTGACAGAATTTTGATGACTCGAGTTATATTCTAAAACCCGTATCAAATTTTTGTTTGTACGTAAATTCAGTATACTAAGTATAGTCTAACGGTAGAAAATATTGAATAACAGACAGTCGAGAGCGGTTTATTCGATCTGCTGGTCCTGCCACTGTCGATCAGGATACCATGAGTGAGGAGCAATTTGCAGAAAGCAGGTGCAAGGAGCGAATAAGTGTGGTGGAGTTGGATCATGTGAAGGAAGAGCAAACGCGTAACGGCCGATCGAGAATACAGAAGAGGAACCTGATGCAATCGATGGAAGGTTGATGGTTAAAGCGAGTGGAGTCCAAGAGAGAGACGAGATTAGGTTGGGTTAAGTACAGAGGAGGCGAGGGCGACTTACGAACAGAGGAGCCGAGGAGAATGTCGTCTGGCAGGGTCTGGAGATTCTTTAAACTCAAAAGCGACGTCTTGGAGCGGCTCCAAGAAAGTAGAGGACAATGGAGTAACTCCTCCGCGTCACAGGAAAATATGAACCCCGAGAAATCGGCCAAGAAGACCCAGCAACCCCAACGTTGAGCGACGGCATAGGGACTCGACCGGGACGATTTTCCCCAGGCATGCTTTTATTCGAGAACAAAAGAATTCTGGGGTGCGGTAACAGGGTAGCATGTACATGCACCGAGTCCTTTCTCAACGGTTAACTCTGTCACCAGACGTGAAAAGGCTCTCGTGGTAATTTTATATAACCTAAAAAAAATATTTTATCAAATCAATAACACCGATTCGTATAATTTTCATCGCAGAGTTGCATCGAACGACTGTCCCAATTATTACGTAAATCAATTCAGTCTTCGTTATCACACCGTTTACATTGACGGGTATTTCCGAGTAATCTACTAGGAGCAGAAATCCAATAGAAGTGTCAAGTAGGTATGACCGAAGCTTTGGCAACTAGCGCCGAGGAGCTTGATCGGAAACCGTGTGGCCACGAATGAATAGCTTTGCATAAAAGGAACGTGGTGACATCTACCAGGAAGTTATGACGACGGAGTATCTTGAAGATCTCTTTCCTCATTTGTTAGTCAGCCCTCTTGCGAAGCTTGCGTTCCCGTCTACTGCTCTTGAATTGCTCGGCATTCTTGGTCTCCTTTAGCCGCAGCTGTAGAGCCAAAGCATAGAGAATAGAAGTCGGGAATTGGCTCGATGATACTTTAACTCCCTCGTGACTGCGTTCTTGTTCGAATGGACGTTTGGAATTGTCGGAACGAAATAACAAGGAGAAAGGGTTGTGGGTGGCAATGGAACATTCGTAGAAACTGCATCCGGCAACTATGACCTGGAAGAGGTCAATCGGCATTTACTCCCCCAGCTGTGCGAATGCCAGGCATTCCCACCAAGGGTTTCAAGTGGTACCATATATGTATTATTCCTTTGCCCTGAGGGGTTGACTTTTTCATCGAGGACTTCATCCCCTCTTGTATGGATTCACTCATCCGACTTCAGGGTTCCTTGTAATTAATAGAGCTTTAGCAGGTACTGGTTAGATAATTGAATTGATAAAATTTCATTAAGAATTTATATATCTTGCTTCACTTATCGTACATATTTATTGTATACGATTGTATGTACATTTGTTTTTGGATTTATGATAAGATATTATTATTGATATTTATCGTCTCTAGTACTTTGCTTGTGAATTTTCTCTTTAGGCACTCTCTAATTGATATTATGTAATTTTAATAATTTAAATTATAGAAATTTAGTTTTTCAATTGACATTTTGTTATATCACTGCCTGAAATACGCAGGTAGGACCGTACAGTAGGTTTCAGGGGAACGTCTCTATGTTCCCTTTGTTCAGGATTCGTCGGGGCGTAAGCTACTACCACCTCTTAACCTATGCAACCCTAGCATTTTCCATGCGTTTCCTTTGTTCGTGAGATTACCATTATACCTCATTATGTCATTAGTAGATGGAATTTCTGAATGTCAACCGCAAATCTCTCAGTGGTTTCTAAAACCGAATAAAAATGATTACAAGTTGGAGAAAAGAATTTTCAGAACAGCATAAAAAATTTGTACGTAAACCTTGACTAGGTAAACGTAGAAATAGAAAATTAAATTTCCAAAAATAAAAAAAAAATGTCCAAGGTTCTAAACAACTTTCAGAATATACAAAATTTAAGGTATCCCTTTTCAAATCAAAATCAGTCTCGTGTCACAAAAATGTACCTATCGTCTGATATTCGAATTTTGAATTTGACTATATTGAAATTCTTAAAAAATCGTATTACTCTCCACCGTTCTTTCTATCGTGAACTTTCCCTAGGTTTTTTCCGTATCAGGACGTCATAGGATGCAGTTGTTATCAGATACTGAGAGCTTTCCGACTTTGCCCCCCCC